AGATAAATAATTCAGACGAAAACTAGGGTGTGATTTAAAGGTCACCCTAGCAACTGCCGAAACAACCAATCTGATTTCCGTACTTCAGCTGGGCTATCTCAGCAGTTACTAGGGTGGCCTTTAAAGTCGCCCGAATCAACACCTAACACGTAACAAAATGACTCATCACATACTGCAGATACCTGGAAAATTTTAATACCATTAAAATTAACGAATGAAAAACTGTTTTGAATACACAAAGGGAGTTTGAACTTTCGTATGGCTAAGGCTTCAATGAACCTAAATGTACGGTCTTGACGGCTTCTATACAATGGTCCAAAGGCTGTTCTGGGGTCAATCCTATGACCTATTGGACTAAATGAAGGAAACCTCTAAGTCATTCGATAACTTTGATATGAGTATGAGGAATAAATTCTTCTCGAAAAGTCAACCAGCAACTTGTATTATGTCAATGTGTGCCATATGAAATAAACAATCTAATATGGAATTGCTCAAGTTTTTCTAACATTTACTGTTTATCATATCTTCAATCGACTGTCATAAAGCACCCACCTTCATCTCTTCCAGACGGCTCATGTAGTTGTCATTAAAATCAATAAAATAGGGTTATATGTACAGAAAATGCTTTTTCGAACATATACTTCTCCTAGGCCTTGTAATAGCTGTATTCCGAGGTATTTACCTGGACTTGATTTATTTACATGTATGCATAATAATGCAGCTTTGTTTGTTTTATTTTCTGTTAGTTAACTGCTCAAAACATTTTGTTAGTCTTACAAAAGTTATTTACTGTTTTACATTTAATTTCTGCATCACAAGGACTATCTAGTCATCCATTCAGTTGCTGATCGCAACATCAACTCCACCCTGAAGAGTCGCTGTTTGTAAATCTACTATTCAGCTACGAGAAACTGCAGGTGTACCGTATTTCCAACTTTTCCGGTAATGATTCACAGCACCGAGCTGATCAGTCTAATTTGGTATACAAAATATCATCTAGCATGAAATATATACACGTTTTATTGAAGTATACTTTCAAATACAAACTCAGCAACTCTGAGTTTTGTTCTATTTTCTCAAGTTCGCTTTAACTAAACGATTGAATCTAGAAACAGCGGTGTCGAAATAAAGTGGAACACGACCGACCATTACTTCGGTAATTTAAACGATAAAACAGATTGAACTTCAACTACGTTTAGTTCCATGTTACATTTTTAGCCTCTTTTTTCAATATGCCTGACGCATTGCAATCTATACTATTTTTAGGTGAAAGATGTAACCAATCAGCCCATCTTTTGAAGCCCGAGTAACATGATGAAGTGATTGAGACTGACTCTACAACTTCCCTGCAACCATAACATACCGACAAATATTTAACTCTAAAAAACTTATTTCACTTGTATTCCGTCACGCCAATAAACCTCAAATTCAAACTTTTAAACGGTATCATAAACATTCAGGTAACAGTTGTTACGAATCTCCTGAAAGAAGTTGATCTTTGAGTCATGCTTAATCCTTAATGTAATCCCATTGTATTTAGACTATCGAAAACAAGATTTTCTGAACGTTTCTCTCTGCATCCCACAGCCTCCTCAGCAGAATATTCGGATTTTTATTCAACACCAAAATATATACTGTCAAATAGTACATGTAGGAATTCTTGTCTTTACGCCATTGGTTAACTGACTTGTTGTTCAGACTGATTATTTCTAAACAGTCATCGTAAATTCTCGCAGTATTTGTCATCCAAAACAATTCAATAATCTGTGTATGTAAATGCCATGGAAAATGTATGTGTCGTTCGTTGTTTATGATATGAAAATATGAGGAACATATTTATTTATGGACAATGATTAATTGATATTGTTTTTTAAAAGTCATATTTGAAATGGTGGCCTTTTTGCTGAATTAGTCTTCCAGATAGGTGATAAATCTATCCCTTCTTTTCTGTTTGAAGCATTTGTTGACACTAAAATATGCAGTTTTTGTGGTCAATCTTTCTTTATGTGAATGAAAACCCTTCTCTAATATGTCATGATTGTCAAAATCAATCGTGTACCCACTTCAATAGTATGCATCGCTATTGCTGATCTCTTTACCAAACTTTTCAATCCTACTTCATTCTTTGGTGAATGTTTGCTACATAACCTATGTTTGTTCACTCTAATTTTCAGCTGTCTACAACTTTCACCAATATAATTGGCCCCACAGTCCGAACATTTTATCTTATACACACAGTTATTTTGTGTTATCATTGGGATTAAATCTGTCACTCTGACTAAGGCTTTCTCTAAAGAATTTGGAGGTTTGAAATATAGTCTGATATCATGCTTAGCATAAACTCTTTGCATTATTCCGAAGTACCTTTTCTATATTGAATCGTCATTGTTGATATTCATGAATTCTTCCCAGTCTTACGTGTCTTAACCGTTCGCTTCTTGTGATTCTTCTTGAGAATATTGTTCAGAAAAAGCTTTGGATAGTGATTTTCTATGAACACTTGTCTTACTTTGGAAATTTTACTTTTCACTTCCTCCAGACCCGTCACAATATTCTTAGCCGTATTAAATAGGATCAAAGTTACTGTCGTTTTTGTGTTAATTGCTTGGTCGGATTGAAAATTTAGATATTTTCCAGAATGGGTAAGTTTTCTGTAAGTTCTAATTTTATATTCCTCTTCAGATGTTCTCTGGATAAAACAGTCTAGGAAAATAAGAGTTCCCGCATTCGATTCGGTTTCATTCGTGAATTTTTTGAATCTTGATAACGAGCTTAAAATCTTGCGTAGAACTTTCATGTTTCGTTTTTTAATGATGACAGAGAAACCACCTACATGTCTATACCAAAGTTTAGGTTTACAATGAAAACTACTTAATGCCCTTCCTTTCAGTACCATTTATGGATATGTATGTGATTCTCCGTTGTTTCACTGGTCGAACTGTCCGACCTATATTGGTATATGGGCTCCCAAGTGGATGCCTCGATATTGCCTGATTGTAAAGTACGGTAATTTACTTGGTTGTGGCTGACAGAAGAATCCAGGATGCGCGTTTCGTCCCATTTGGGATTCGTCAGCTGGGTGTGCCTGCACCCCAGTGAGTGATGTTGTCCCCACCGAGACTAGGACCTCGTACCCATCGCTTCAAACTCCAAGGCGTTACTCACAAGACCACGACCGAACAATTTGAACCAGTAAAACAAAGAATTACAAGCATATCAATAAATAGTAATAACTAATACCCGTTATACAAGAGGTTATTGTGTGTATTTATTTCACAGTATTTTGTTGATATATAACATATATAACACAATTGAACATTCGCTCAATTGTCGTAACATTTTTGTAAACTCGTTGGTCAATACAATATCCTGCTTTATACTTCACGTTATCTCCTGATATTTACACTGTCTAGTGCAGGTGGATCAGCAGTGTCGGGATAGTGTATCGGGATGAGTACATAGATTTGGAGTCATATATCAGAGCTCGACAAATGTGCCTCCGTGGAATAGTGGATGACGCCTTGAAGTTTAAAGCGATGGGTACGAGGTCCGGGTCCCGATGGGAACAACATCACTCACTTGGGTGCAGGCACACTCCGCTGACGAATCCCAAATGGGACGAGATGCGAGTCCTGAATTCTTCTGTCAGCTACAACCAAGTGAATCGCCTTCACTTTAATGTTTTCATATATGAACTGGTTACAGTCGGAGATGCTGATGAGCCCATCGCAACCCCATTAGTTTGACGGTATAACTTGCATCTAAACGTAAACTATGTTGATTCTAAAGACAATCTGAGAAAGACATTATGACCAGATTATTCGAAATGTTTTGCGCAAATACATTACACGATCCATGCAAACAATATCTACTTATTGCTTTATCAAAATTAAAAAGGCCACCATTTCAAATATGACTTTTAAAAAACAATATCAATTAATCATTGTCCATAAATAAATATGTTCCTCATATTTTCATATCATAAAACAACGAACGACACATACATTTTCCATGGCATTTACATACACAGATTATTGAATTGTTTTGGATGACAAATACTGCGAGAATTTACGATGACTGTTTAGAAATAATCAGTCTGAACAACAAGTCAGTTAACCAATGGCGTAAAGACAAGAATTCCTACATGTACTATTTTGACAGTATATATTTTGGTGTTGAATAAAAATCCGAATATTCTGCTGAGGAGGCTGTGGGATGCAGAGAGAAACGTTCAGAAAATCTTGTTTTCGATAGTCTAAATACAATGGGATTACATTAAAATTTTACCAAGTGTTTGGCTCTGGGCCTGTAACGCCCAAGTTTCTTAATTCTGATAACACAAAGTATTTCATAACCAAGCCTATAAGAAACTTTTCTCGCCGATGATCAATACGCACAAGAACAGAGTGAATTCACATTCTTACGTTTATTTCATCGAGTGCAGTCAACGAATGGTGATAGGAACTATTGTTAAGCATAGGCGGCACAACGAGACATAAAGCATCTATGATATGTTAGCTCAGTGAGTGAGAGAGTGAATCACTCAGTTGGAAAACTGGAACATCTTGGATTTCCACAAATATCCAATAACGCTTTTGAAATAAGCGACGTACAACCAGGGTCAGACTGTAAATATTTACATTATTTCCTCAAGTTGTTGGGTTTATATGCACTACAGTGAATCAATCATTGCATTTTTTGAATGATTATGCCTAGATTTAACCGACTAATCTACCTCATCAAACGCCGACTCACTGATACATATCCTAACTAATGTATGCTGATTGAACGAGACGAAGTATTTTGCCATGTAACTGGCATCATTCAAGTTTTGGGGAAATTGAGTTTGCTTCTTTTGAACGTTTTCTACTTCATTAGTAAATCACCTTCTGCCTTGGCCTTGGGGCACCAATGTCTACATTTCGCAAACCGATTGCACACACACTTTCTGAGATATAAAGCGTAACAGTGGTAGTATGGAAAGTGAAAAGAAAAATATTCAAATTCTAAGATTCAATCTTGTCACAAAACTTCATACAAACAAAATTAAAAAAGATATCATGGTATAGCATTCAAAAAATATATAAACAGTCTCTTAAGGTTGTTACGTGATCTTTAAAAACAAAGCATTATGATTGTCTATTTTGTGAATGTGTTATTTATTTGTAGATGTGACTGCTGGCCACCGTCCCATAACCTAAAAGTAGAATATAAGAAAAATGTGTACGTAATTTCCGAAGATTAATTTGTTAGAATATCTCTATTTTTATCAATACTATAACAATTTAAAGTCCATTTGCTACAGTTAAACAATCTTTGAAAATCTTGTTAGATTATTTAAACCAATATGGAAGTAAGTCCTTTAGTGTTTGAAGCATACTGGATGAAAATTGTATAAGTGGTGTTCCCCACCTCAACACTATAGCGTTAGGATGACACTGTTTCCAGCCGACAGCACTAGTTCCAGATGCTAGTAATCTCGAATGACTATAATGACATCGGCGAATTGATTACTAGTTAATATATAGTGTAACTGTTGAGCAACAGTCTGTTTCGTTGATGCATAGAGTATCCATTCTCACTCCATTCAATACGTACAATAGATTTTTGGAAAGTCAATACACAGGAATAAACTGTGATGACAACTGGGTGATAAACGAATGAACTTGAAATGATGAAGCATGCTATTTGAAGGTAAATGCCGACATGCTGTACAGCAGCATATTAACTATCCATAACATTTAATTCCCGTTAGTTGACTAGAAATCTGAAGTCGATAACATACAATTTCCGCTTTCATGATATTTATACTGAGTATTTCTTTACTAAACCTTGTTATAATGGTTTCTTAAGATGACAATTCTTGTCAGGCTTGCAAATCGCCCAGCGAACTTGATGCAAAGAAAATTGCTGATGAATTCGCGAAGTTCCAATGTGCAATGAAGAAACTGAAAAAACGGTTGACTACTTTTTAAAGATTAAACTCGTGGTTGGTGGGGATCAATTGATCTCCAAGTAGTACTCATCATGGAGTGATATTAGTTGGAGAATCATTGAAAACCCAGGAGCACTGGTTCTTCCCATTAAGGGGCTCCTCAGTAGCAAGGACCTAAAACCTTGCGGCTCAGTTGGTAGAGCTCTAGACCGGCAAACCCGAGGCAGTTGGCTCGAATTATTTTACTAAAGCTTTGAAAATGTGAGGGGTCTCTTTCTGTACAATGATAGGGAGCTGTATCCGAATCCCAATGTCGAACAAACCGAATAGCGTGTTGAAAGATTACTGGTAACTACATGAAATTATTTGAAGCTAGGTAGCTTCTTTACCAATCCAGGCTGTTTAGTTTCACATTTATCAAATGCCTAGACTTCAATGTAAGAAAAGGTGAAGCTTTAAGATCAAAGCAGTTACTAACCTTTTGGACCAAATAAAACCTTGTAACAGGGATTCTGACAATAAGGTTTGCCTTGATGCTGAAATATAAAATAAAACTTATGTTAATAGTACGAACACATATCTAAGGATGTTGTCTTCCGTATTGTAAGCAGTACTACTATGCTGTGCGTCTGGTTGAGTTGTAACGAAAACTACACCTAATTTAACTGAAAAATGGTTAGTTCCCATTCGTTTACAAATATACAGTCATAAACGCATAAATTCACTCGAGTCGGTTACAGATAATAAGTAAAGCTGGTTCGCGTAAAATATGTCAAATCTTAAAAGGTCTCAAGTGTTTGTCTTGGTTTTTCTGTGTTAAACTATTCTGCATATGGTGAATCGCATATCAACTGAGTTTTTTAAATACTTGCATATCACGCTTCACAGATTAGTGACAAATATAAAAGTAAGAACATTTTTAGTAAATTAATCAACTTTAATTGTGACAAATTATCCTTTTAAGTCAAGTGAGAAATTCAGCGCAACAGTCACTGTAAAAGTTTGTGCGCTTCTCTAAAAACTGAAGTAGAGTAACGCAAAAAATAACATGGTATTATCAGAAGAATAAAAAGAAAAAGGGATACGAAACTGGGCAAAGTCCCAAAAGAAATGGATATGTAAGATAACCTTTTGCACCAATGTTGAGAACAGAAGACAAAAAGTACACTATGACCGCCACCGGTTTCCAGTTTGAGCCACATGCCAAGGCTACAAATGCCCTTCTTCCTATGGCTTCATCTCTTAGATTAATCATCTCGTCGCGTCTTCCAATCAATTCTGTCACCAATGAACAATGATTGAATATATATAATTTACCGGAACGACATGCGTAGAAAATATTATAGTTGCTGCAGTAGGAATTTGGTGACTTTACTATATCATGCAAAAGCATAGGTCATCGCACCTCAAAATTATTAGCACAACATTGAAACTACTTTTAATTAGTCCCAATGCGAAAATGGTAATCGCAGACAGGGTCATCACATTTATTTAGCTCAGAAAGGTCTGATTCCTCAGACACGCGTAAAATGTGTTGAACTATCTTACACTCAACTTTTTACGAACAGCCTTACGTCTTAATGATGTCCAAACAGCCTAGCACAACTATAAAAATGACAGAACTACCTATACTAATGTGATATTTGACAACCAAATGACAGTACCAACGAATGAGAAATGTACGACCCTAGGTTTCAGATTTCGTGCAAATACAGTAGGTCAATCTATCAACTATGATCTTATAGCACACATCGAACATGCTACATCAGTCTTTACAGCTTTCGGAGGGAACTGGTAAACCACCAGGGTGCGATTTGTATATGCACTGCTGAAACAGATGTTCACTACTCTTTAGTTTTCAAAAGTTCTCTAACAGATACAAACCTGTGATGAAAACTACTCCAAACTTTAACAACATGAGAAATTCAATTCATACAAACGACCAAGTAACGGCATCATTCTAAGAATATGGATGCATACTTAAAGCTAATACTGAATTCATCTAAAGGCTGCTTAATGCAACATAAAGGGTCTTTCAAAAATCGAATACATTCCCCTAAATATCGAATGGTCAACGTAAACACGATCAAAAGAGCAGAAAAGTATGAACGAAATAATCCTAGTGACAATCAACAATATGTTCCTAAACACTATGAAATACAGAAACCATGGTTGCAAACGTTCAAATACTTTTCAAGCAAAATTAAACGGAAACCATTTAACGTGTTTGAACAAATAAAGACACACGAGTGTGTTTACTTCGAAGGACAGTCCTGTAAGTTGAACAACAAATTTCTTTCTAGATGTAGGTGAAAAATCTAGTCGTTAATCTCATCCGTTTACTAATGGTTAGTTAAAAACTGATAGTCTGCTTTTTATCATTCCCGTGGTTGTAGTAATCATAACCTACTCACCACTCTACAATATAATGAAAGAAGGAAGAAACCGGTCAGTTGTAGTAGTGGTTTTGTTCCCAGTGTTGGTAAAATGTGGTCACCAGTACGGTTGCCCATCGCTATCCTGTCACTGTTCGAAGCCTGCACTCAGCGATAAGCCATCCATACCAATGTAAAGAGATACGTAAGAAACAAGTATACAGGTTCTGGTCACTGGGAAACAGTGAGTGCCATCACATTACATACTCCGATGTAACTGGTATTATGGCTAAAATGCAGTCATAATTGCACTTTGATTAAATGTCACAGTGAAACAGTATTATTTACTGGAAAACGTTCCGGATGTCAGTTATTGCCTATATCCAAATCAACTAACCCACGAATTTGTCTGTGATACCCAATAAACAAACTAAAGTGGAATTACAATATACCACAGTGGCCAAGTTAATGAAATGCAGGTGGTAGTCTCACCCGGGAGATAATAAAGTAGTATATATGTTATAAAAACCTGATGAGGAAGAATTACTCAAATAAAACTATCCTCACTACAATGTAACTGTTTACAAGGAAATGATAAAAGTATATTCGCTTACTTCACAGTGAGAACCTGGAGTTAGTGTTTTCTTGCACTTCTCACATTTCAAACATTGCCGATGCCAATCTTGACCAAGTGAGCAGACTCGTTCAGCTATTCAATAACAATCATTTAATTGCACTTACCAAAGTAGACTTCTTTAAGACAAGCAGGACACTTCATACTAGAGACAATGAGATAAGCAATGAATGACCTTAAAATGAAAGCTGTAGTAGCACTATGTACAACTCATGTTTTGTGATTTTATTGCTGATCAGACTCAATGTTTTCAACAGCCAGTCACATGAGTCAACATCAGACGGTCTCAAGGTCACTAAAGACCAATTGAAATCTTATTTTGAAACATTTTTAGTCCAATGGCTGTGGTATATTGAGAAGGGGGTGAGTGACCAATTTAGCTCAGGCCTTTTAGTTCAGAAGAATCAATACAGTTTCTCTACCCACATATCTGTCACTTTCCAATCACCGTTACCATAGCTGCTGAAGGACGTTAAAAGTAACACAAGCATAAGCATGGAAAAAATACAAGCCAAATAATTGTACGGCGCTATACTCTCTTACACATTACGAGCGATTCAAGTGTTTAAAAAACGACTCTACAAGCAACTTTCAGTAAATTGCCTGAAATTTGAGCATACTTGAAGATTAATAGGGACTATAACTCAATGGTCGGAAGAGGAAGACATTCATAATTGCAAAGTGGTCGGTGAGATCAAGTGAAGTTCATCCGAAGGTTCTCGACATCATATGGATAGTTGTCTATCAATTTCAAACCCTAACAGTCTTCGAAAATGAGACTCGTATAATAATTACTTTCAATGCTGAATTATGGATACTGTCTGATTTTGATGCGTGAATCCATCTTGAGTTTTTTATTTGGCCAATTTTAGAGGCTATATTCATCTAATGATTTTCACACATTTTTATTGATCAACTTTAAAGGATAACGAACAGACATTGTAACCTTGTCAAACTGCCGAAGAAGGGAGACCTCAGTGTTTGCAAGAACTGGCGCGGAATCACTCTCCTGTCCACCCACACCAAGCAAAATATTAAGCCGCATCATCCTGGAGAGGCTTAAAGATGCACTGGATTCAAAACTACGACCGAAACAGGCTGGCTGGCTGGCTTCAGGAAGTACAAATCATATGCTGACCAAATTGCAACGCTGCACCACGCATCATCATAGAACAGAGCATAGAATGGCAATCAGCTCTCTACCTCAACTTCATCGACTTTGAGAAGGCCTTTGACAGCGTCGACCGAGAAGTAATTTGGAAACTGCTTCAATACTACGGAATACCGCAAACCTTTATCAGCCTAATTCAACAACTATATGAAGATGCCACATGCCAAGTAATTCACAATGGGAAGCTGAGTGATGCTTTTGAAGTGAAGACAGGAGTGAAACAAGGTTGCCTACTATCCCCTATGATATTCCTGATTGTGGTCGACTGGACTGGATCATGCAGCAAACAGTGGTGAGCTGTGAGAAGAGGGGATACGTTGGCTGGACTGCGGAAAAGAACCCAGAAGATCTGGTTTCGCCGATGTCACACAAACTTGAAGATCTACATCATCATTATCAACATAGGACCAGGCATTACTGTGTAACGGTTCGAGTTGCTACACCTCACGTCAGTTCATCAAGTAGAAAGGTAGTGAGGTGAAGGATGAAGATAAGTGAATGCAGTCAAAAGAAATATAAAGTACGAGAAGAAAGGAAAGAGGAGTAACAAAATAGTGAGATTCGGTATGGCGTTGTTAAGATGAGGATAATGTGTGTATACATCTGCGCCACTGACATCAGTTCTCAGCCATATCTGCTAGAGTCTCCAACCACTGATTCCTCTTGTCCCGCGGACCCCAACCACCTAGTCTGCATCGTCCTACATGGCTTAAACCAACAGTCAGAGACTTCATACATTGGTGCCATGTTTTAGTGTGGCCACCTCAAGCCTTTTCCCAGCCTGGACCCACCTCAGCCAACATTGTGTGACAGGGCAACCGGTGACTAGGCATACGTAGTACGTGTCCTAACCAGCCATCTCAGTTGATGAAGGTTCATGACCTCGTCAACTGACTTACCTCTTCTCCCTAAAACTCTGCACCTGACTTCTGCATTACTCACGTGGCGACACCACAGAATACTTCCTATACTACGAAGGCAACAGTGATCAAACACCTGAGGCCCTTTTATATCTTCCAATTTCAATGGCCATGTTTCACAGCCATACAGTAGAACAGAGCGGACTGCTGTGCAGTACACGCGACCCTTAATAGACAATCGGATATCACGGAGGCGCCATAGGTGACGCAAATTGGCAAAAGCCAATCGAGCCTTTTGTATTCGTGCAGAGATCTCATCGGCTACTGAGCCAGCCACCAGGGTTGATCCTACTTCCCAGGTAAGTGAAGTGGTCAACACACTCAACCACTTCACTCTCTATTGTTAGCTGCGGTGGGGTACCGCTGAAGACCAGTCCTGGAGCAAAAAATTGCATTCGGGTGGTGAAAATCGCATCCCAAACATTCTCAAATTGCTACTTAAAGTGTTCAGAAGACTCTGCATCTTGTCAGCGTCTTCACCTAACACGACTATGTCATCTGCATATTCTAGATCTAAAGAAAATTCACCCGTGATTGGGTCAATGTTTGTGTAATTATGTGACGAGAGGGAAACCTCCATAAGAATATCTATGATAAAATTAAACAAGAATGGAGACAGTGGGCATCCTTGACGGACACCACTTGATGAGTATAGCTCCCTGTACAACTCGCCATAGGCTCTAACATGCCCACAGGTGTTCGAGTAGAGAGCTTTCAATAAGGTGATGTACTTACTCGGCACGCCTTTCAGTGACAGACATTGCCATAAGACTTCTCGGCCTACAGGCGAAAACTAACAAGTTGACAGAAGAGACAGCGAAGACGGGACTTCAAGTGAATATATATATAGAGGTGATGAAGATACCACACCAACGCTGCCAACAACAAACTCCAATCACCATGAACGAGAGAAACTTAAAGGGTGTAACCTCCTTCACCTATCTAGGAAGCACTGTTTCAACTACAGGCGACACAGGCACAGACGAGGATGTCAAAGTCAGAATCGGAAAGACAGCAAGACAGGTGTTCATTAGCCTGAAACCAGTGTGGAGATCTGCACTGCACTCAGCATGTGGAACAAGATGCGGATTTTCAACACCAACGTCAAGTCAGTGCTTCTGTATGGTTCAGAGACTTGGCGCGTCACGAAAGGGATTTCCAATAAACTACAGACATTCATCAACAACTGCTTACGCCGACTCGCTACTGAAGATCAGATGACCAGAATAATAAGAATAAGCAACGAGGAGCTCTGGGAACGAACCAACCAAGAATCTATCACCCAAGAAATATGCAGAAGGAAGTGGAGATGGTTTGGGCATACACTGAGAAGGCCGACTGGGGATATCACGCGACAGGCCCTCGAGTGGAACCCCAATGGGAAGCGACGAGTTGTGCGTCCGAGGTGAGGGTGACATGGAGGAGATGGTGCGAGGAGGAAATGAGAGGTTGTGGGCTGTCGTGGAGCCAGGTTCAAAAGATTTCAGAGAAGAGAGTGGAATGGAGACGTGCTAGTGAAGCCCTATGTTCCATTAGGAACCCAAGGGACTAATAATAATAATAATAATAAGTGAAAAGTACAATGGGGTCGTGAGTCATCGGAGGTGGTGAGAAGGAGGAATAAATTACCATTTTGGAGAGATGAATATTTGAACACTCAATAAAGTGTGTGAAGTATCACAGATGACAATATGTAGTATATAGAACTCAGAAAGGCGCGTAAATTGATGTAGATAGTAGACCAATAAAGTATTATGTCATAAAATTAGACAGATTGTTAAAATGAGACCAATATTTTTTGACATGGTTAAGACGACCAAGCGAAATAACACCGGAAACTATTTAAACATGAATAAATTGGAAATAAATCATGTGTAATATTGTGAAATGAAGTTGTGTTCTACCTTCTCTTCAGAAATCATTTCTAACTGTCGATGCGAATCATTATTGTGTACCGAAGGTTTTTCAAACCATTCAGTCCATTGTTGGTCAGGATGTCTTCAAATTGTTTTGTTTGCTATTGATTTGAAATGAACTGAAGATCTGGACATCGTGTCCCGCGTCCATCAGATGTTTAGGAATACAACTTTTAAGACACTTAGATGCCTGTAAGCTTAATTCCGTGGAATGTGTTCACTAAATCTAATCTCAGACCTCCTTTCTATCCTTCGAATGTACGTGGTCTGACATGTAGATGTGAATTAGTAGATATAATCTGAGGTGGCATGTGGTGGAAGCGTGTCAAGGTTTGATTGTTGAAGTGAACACTTTGTTTAGCCTACCGAGAATTCCTTAGATGTTGTGGATGTGATTTTCAGTGCAGTTCTTGTTTTTCTATCAACTGTGTTCATGAGTTCATCTAAGTTGGAAGCCAGATGGAGAAACAAGTGATTTCTTCAAGGAATTCTCCAGTTTATTTGTTTTCGCTCTTCTCATTTTGACTTTATCTATGTTTCTTAGTGTAGGCGTTTTCTCTCAGACACTTCTCGATAACCTTAACTTCCTCAATCAGTTTATCCGATCAACGAAACTGCCTAGTTCCATGAAATGCCGTTTTTAACTACCCCATGCCTACAAAGTATGGGACGGGAATAGTTAAAATGTAAGTACTATCCACTCTATGTTTCTTTTGTGAAGAGAGATTTCTGAGGCGACCGATAAATACTTCGGTGAAGTCTAATGCTCAAAAAATGAAATACATGGTTTGTCTAGTATTTCGAGGTAAACTTGATAGGTATATGATATATATATATATATATATATATATATATATATATATATATATATATATATATATATATATATATATATATATATATCAATAACCTAACATCATTTTATTTCCTTGCTACTATTTATCACGCTTTGTCTTGGAAATTATTTTTGCATATCATGTAACTTTGTATTGTGTTATGTAACTTGATTGGTGACTATCAGGGGAATCCAGGACGCACGTTTCGTCCTATTTGGGACTTATCGGCTGGATGTACCTGGACCCCGGTGAGTGAGACTCGAATCTGATACCCATCGCTCCAAACGCCAAGACGTTACTCAGTAGGCCATTGGTGTACAAAACTGTCTCTTCTGCAATGGGTGTTAGGTACTGTTTGATACTTGAAATTTCCTATTGACTTACTTGGTCAAACTGCTTGACCTCTGTTGGT